AAGTTTAATCAAAGTCATGACACTTTAGCTCCTCAAATGACTAAGCAGTGATTTTGTCGATAATCACAACTGAGCCCAGGACTTGAGACTTCATCAGCAAGATTAAAAGAGAAAGGAAATAAATATAACTAGTTGCTTTGAACCCAAATAAAAATAGTACTTTAAATTTCCTTAAAAGTTTTTGTTTTCAATCCATAGTCTGAACTGTCTTCTTTTTTTGCAAGTGACTATGTACACTGTGTTGGCAGGAATTGGCCTGGGTCCTATATGGAGGCGGCTTCACTACAGACACAAAGGGCAGCTTTATTTTTCAGATATGGCCAAAAATGAAATCCTAGTAACACCCTCTGAATCCCTCAAGACCATATTAAGAAAAATGCAACTATGTAAAGAAAAAAAAAGATTCATTTTGACTTGGGGAAAATCCAATAGTATAGTTTTCAAAGTTTTTAAAACTTTGACTCCTTGTAGTCTCTATGTCTCCATCCCCTAATAGTTTAATGCTTCATAAACACAATGGCAGAAATCTCAACCCATGTGTATGTAATCTACAGTGAAACATTCAGAAAGCTCTCCCTGTTTTAGCTGGATGTGAGGACTGGGTCAATTCTACTTCAAATTAAACCATCAGTTTTATTTTGGATAGTAATAATTTTCAAATAAAAATACCCTATGTATCAGCACACATATGTTGAACAAATATGACACTGGACAATAAAACAAAACGTAAGCAAAATAAAGAATAAACTTTGAGAATTTTAGCATAAAGTCTGTAAGAGTATACTTAGCCCTAAATATTTCTTGAGTGATTTTCCACAGTAACATCAACTGTGTTCTACTGCCTAAGGAGAGAATTTCAATTCCTATGTATCCTTTTCTTAACCACTTTCAAGATCTCAATATGATAAAGCATCTATGCAGTAACTTACACTGAAAACCAAATTCCCTTTTGGCAACTTTGGGTTTGTGTCTTTGTAATGTGAATTTTTACCCCACTTAGTATCAATAACTACAAAATTATTCATTCTTGGATGTGAATTTCAGACTTACAACTTCATTTTACAGATGAGTGAAACATGAGTTTCTAATTCTCATGTCTATTGGTTCCACAAATGTTAATCTTTCAGTGGTAATATGCAAATTTCATTCATCAGAGTAATGTTCTCTGTATGGCATACAGTAGAGAACTGCCATTATATTATACAGTAATCTTTTTGAGACCATAAAGCTAAGCCTCCAAAATACAATCTGAGAATCTTCTAAATAAATGCCACTAAACCAGATAACTGGCATGTACTTAGACTGAGAATAAAACAAGAACAGTCAAAAATAAAAGAAGGATTTAAAGCAGCTTCCAAAGGCTCCCATGGGACCCTTTATATCCTGGGAGAGCCTGGTTCCACAATTAGAAGACGACTAGGATGCCAATAATTAAGTCCATAATCAAACGAATTAACAAGTCCAATCCTTCTGATAAGCTATTTGAATAAAAAAAATTTAATATCAAAGGATATATGTTGTAACACATGGAACCTGAAAACTCAAAATGTAAGACTGAATGATGTTATTTAAACATTCTAGCTATTTTATTTCACTAGTGTTTCAAACTTAAAAGTAACTGGCAACATAGCTAAATGTAAAATTACTTGAGATAAAAGTGAAGATTACTTGAAACTCCAATTCACTGAAATATATACATGGTTGATAACTTCACCTACATCCATTTACAGAAAAATGTAAAAGGCAGGAGAAGAAAAACTCATGTCAATTTTGTCTCTGAGTTAGTACAATCACTGACATGCCAGATGGTTCCATCTTTAGGAATAAACAACCAGAGCTACATATCTAGCATCATGGGTACTTATCCTTAGTTTACTTCTAACGTTACATCATACATACTTACTAGTTAAAAATATAGAAAATAAAAGTTTTCCTTATAGAAAATGTTTGGTTTTAAAAAGGCAATTTATCCTGCATTCTAAAATCGAAGCCCTTTAAATATCACAAAATTACCGTTGGGCCTTAAGAAAGGTAGCTGTCCTTAAATATTCTACACTGGAGCATTGTTTAGTTATATTGGTAATTTCTGCAGATGGCATAATAAAACTGGCATTCATCTCTGCAGTATTTTCCGTATGTTCTGCTAACAACTTTATATCTGGGCATTCCCCTCTTAAGTGAATTTTAAATAAATCTAAGTATATAATATGTGTATTATCCCTTGAAGGTTTATTTCCTAAAACAGATCTACATATGAAACATCCTTAAAGCACGTAGCAAGAAAAATGGAACTTCGGTGAAAGACAAGAAGCCTTTCTTTCTACATTAAAACACTTGTCCAGTTACCTGTATTAATGAGGTTTGGGTAGTACACAACTAACCAGCTGTTTTCACAGTACATTCAGTTTTCCCATAAAACTTAAAAAAAATCTATGCCATTTGTAATAATCAGTAAAAATCTAAAGTTTTTATCTGGGAAAGAATACCCAGCAAAGACTGTCCTTCATTTGGAGAACACAAAATCTCTTAAGAGCTGCCAGGAATACCAGGCTCCTCTCTTCCTTTTTCCCTCTCTTTTGCATTTTTTCTTTCTGTGTGTGTGTGTGTGTGTACTGAATTTGGGGCCTCAAATTTGCTAGACAACCTACCACTCAAGTCATGCCCCCAGCCCAGAACAGTGCTCTCAATATAGAATTTTAGATAGAGGATACACTGAAATAATTCCCACCATGAACTGGTAAATACTGAAACAATTTCCAACAAATTGGTAAATGATTTAAATATTTTATCTCTTTTTCCTTTATTCTTCCTCTAAGGAAAAAAGAAAAAGAAAAAGAAAGGCCAGGTGCTAGTGGCTCACCTATAAATCCTAGCTACTCAAGGAGGCTGATCTGAAGATAAAAGGATTGAAGCCAGCCAAGCCAACCTATGCAGACAAATCTGTGAGACTCTAAAGGTGTGGCTCAAAAAAGTGGAGAGGTCTTGAGTTGAAACATTAGTATCAGCATGCATGCATGCACAAACACACACATACACACACATGCACGCACACACACAACAAACCAAACCAAAAAACATTTGGAAGAAGGGCAATGATTTTCTGGTCAAAATCAGATCTTGGTTTTGCTATTGAAAAAAAGAGTTTTAAAAGAAATAAGTAAGAATTGAAAGCTTTCTTTTTACTGGGAATTGAACTCAGTACCTTAAGTGTGCCTAACCAGCATAGTTTTCAAAGATGATTAACAAAAAAAGAAATTCTTAATCTTTCCAAGGTGAAACAAGTAGGACCATGAGAAAATATTGCAGTCAAGGAGCCATAAGAGATAGAGGTCCATTTTCACCATTATATGCTGATTTTTGTGAAGATTCTACACTTATGTTTGGGAGCAAATTGATTAAAAACAGGATAGTAAGAACTGGAAATAAGGTCCGGGGGGGGGGGCGGTGTAGCTCAGTGGCAGTGTGTGTGTGTGTGTAGCATGTACAAGGTCTTAGGTTCAATCCTTGGTACCAGGAAGGAAGTTGGAGTAAGTTAAAAACAGCAGAATATGGACAAAGATAGAAAAAAAAACTTATTCTAAAATATTCTAGAGTTTACTTTGGGTAGGTGGAATAAATTATAATATTATCTACTTAAAAATTAAATTACTGGGCTGGGAAGGTGGGTCAGTGGTAGAGCGCTTGCCTTGCATGCCTGAGGCCCTGGGTTCGATTCCTCGGCACCACATAAGCAAAAAGAAAAAAGCCGGAAGGGCACTGTGGCTCAAGTGGTAGAGTGCTAGCCTTGAGCTGAAGAGCTGAGGGACAGCACCCAGGCCCAGAGTTCAGGCCCCACAACCGGACCCCTCCCCCCCCCAAAAAGTAAATTACTTAGCCAGGCACCAGTGGCTCACGCCTGTAATCTTAGCTCTTCAAGGAGGCTGAGGTCTGAAGATCACAGTTCAAAGCCAGCTGGGGCAGGAAAGTCCATGAGACTCTCATTAACTCCAATTAACTACAGGAAACCAGAAGTGGAGCTGTGGCTCAAAGTGGTAGAGCACTAGCCTTTAGCTCAGGGACAGCTCCCTGGCCTGGATTTCTGGCTCCACAACTGACCAAAAAAACATGCAAACCAACAAAAAGCCACCAACACCAATCCAATTTAGTATAATTAAAAATATATTTAGTAAGGTCTGCAACTGAATAAAATTTAGACCTTGTATTTGAGTAAAGCCTTGTATATTGAGTGGTGGTATATGCTTGTAACCCAAGCATTTGGAAAGCCAAGAGAAGGATTGGACTACATAAGGTGACACTGCCTCAATAAAAACTCAACTGGTTTTTTTCTAATCCAATTGAGTACTTCCAAAAATTTAAACAGGCTTTTATTTTGTTTTGGTGCTGGGGCTTGAACTCAGGGCCTGAGCCCTGTCCTTAATTTTTTTTTTTTTAAGCTCAAGGCTAGCCATTCTACCATTTGAGCCACAGTTCTACTTCCAGCTTTTTTGGTGGTGCACTGGGAAGTAAGAGTGTCATGAACTCACCTGCCTGGGCTGGCTTCAAACCACAATTCTCAGCCTCCTGAAAGGCTAGGATTATAGGCATGAACCACTGGCACCCAGCCAAAATAGGTATTTTATATATAGAAAAAAAATTAATCAAACGTTTTTCATGGACTCATAAATATTTTAGATCAGAATCAAAGCAGCTTTGATGGCACCAGAAGAAAAGTATACCCCAGTCTAGACCATCATATAACATCTTTCTAGCAGCAAAAAAGGATAATATTCATTAATTTAAGGATTTTAGTTTTGTTAGTTTTAATTTCCTCTTCCTTGGTTTGTGGGTCAAAAATGATTTTAGAGTCTATTTTCATGTTTTATATTATTGCTCACATTCTGTAAAAACTATAATAACTGCTCTTAATAAGTTTGGCAATGTGTAACAATATTTAAGAACAAGGATAATGTATCACTTACTGTTCTATAGGATTTTGTAAACAATCTTACTTGGTTTAAGAATGTGGCCTCAACACAGAAGTCTTTATTTTGTCCAAAACAGCACAGAAAAAACATCCCCAATAATACATAAACCTCTAAGTATATAAAATATAGACTATGTCCCACAGCTTTCCTTTATGGTATCAAGAGAAAGTATAGCTGATAGGGGTAAAGGGAAGTTAGGTTAGCCAGGCATTAACATTCAAAGACCAGGTAAACATCAACTTTAGTAGAAAAAGCAGTATTAAAGGGGTTCCTGTGAAGCTGGGATTTACAGTCTTCATTTTGTACTCCTGGGCCATTCCATCCACAATCTGACTCTTTTCAATCATGGTTCTTTGCCTTTGGAGTGGTACTATAAAGGGAATGCCTGTCCACTATCATTTTTTTTGCTATAAAAATCATAATCAAAATGACAAATGCTTTAAAAAAAAAAGTATGTTGGATTGTAGAATATTTAACTTAATTTTAAAGAAAGCTTTCCATTAATACTCCCCCAATAGGCTTTTTACAACATCCTGCATATAGCAGTAAACATCTACCTAGGTAAGGTATCAAATTTTGTGTGATAATTGGTTTCTCATGTACCTTTAACCTCCAGAAGACCAAAAACCATCAGATTTCTTTACCTGCTGATCTGTTGTTAATACTTTTAACAACAGAAGGAAAAACTGGTGTATGTTTTAAGTCAACACATTCTTCCTTAAGTCTAGTTTCTATTGTTTTAACATCATGTGGTGTACTTACAAGAAGCAATTTCTCAGTTATGAAAAATAAAACATCAGTTGTAGGGCTTACAAAGTGAAAAGGGAAATTCTTTCCAAAACCCTTTCATATTTAAAAAATTAAATTAAATTTAAATATACAAGACCAAGCACAGGCACTTTCCAAAAACCAAAACTGAAACCAAATTACAAATTACTCAATAGTTATAGATGACAGCTCTGATTTTGGGGGATCATCTCTGGAAGCCTCAGCACAAGCACTGGTCTTTGGTTGCCCTGGCACTTCTTCCTCTTTTTCTGCCAGCCCACCAAGAGACCCCAGAGGGAAAGTGCTTTCACAATTCTGGGTTGAGGAGACCTGTGAAATTACAGGCATCTGAACAGAGGAGTTGCTTTCAAAACTGTGTTCTCCAAGATCATACTGAACAAGGTTCTCTTCTTGTTCTTGGTTTAAGTAGTCCGGTACTAGGAAATCACTAGATAAGAGGCAAAGATGAAATATGGAATTAATCTTCAAACCAGTACTAGATAAGCTACAATAAAAAGATGCTATCTGTAAACAAGACTGGGACTTTTCATTTCATTAATTGTTAAGCATTAAACTCAGAACTTGCAGCTTAAAAATAAACATTCCTCAATATGAACCAAAGCCATCTATCAGAAACAAAGTGCGGCAAGTCTCCCTACTAACAATAAGTGAGATTACTGAAAAATGTAAAAGGTAAATTGTGTATATCTTGTTATTGGGTTCAGTTTATGGACATAATTTGCGTCAGAATTTGAAAATCAAGTGCTTAATATTGGTTATATTAGTCTTCAAAAAGTGTTTAGTTATTGATGTCTATAAGAAATGTGAACGATAAAATATACTGTATCATTTCAACAGTGGATATTTTCAAAGTGGTGATATCAGAAAAGTTTTCTAATTTATTTTACTTTCTTAATTTTCTCAATTTTCTACTATAATAATTTCTGATTATGAAATAAATCTTATGTGCTTTATTAAAACTTTACTACTGAATTAAAATAAGTCATTATACTAGGACCTTCAATAACCAAACTTTGATATGGCTATTTAATAGTATGACTAATGGAAAATTAAATGCTGTTCATCTGCAAAGCAATTTTTCAAATGCCCTGTGTTTACTTTTCTAAAATGTCCTCAGAATTAAGCAAAAAGAATACAGGATACAGAGCTTTGCACAGGAAAGACACAAACACAGGAGTTGTTATCTGAACATTATCTTAGTCCTGAACAACTATACTTAATATGGTTTAGTGATAGGACAACCACACATTCAGAATTAGAAATGACTAAAACAAAATGAATGCTTGGTTTGATGGGAAAAATGAAATCTATGCAGGAATGATTAGAAATTTCTTGAAAAATAAGGCTTTAAAAATAAAAATAAATTACAATGTAAGCATTTAGAAAAAAAATCCATTTTATGAGAAACTAAGGATTCCTAGCAAGATGTGATTCTTACAAAGGATTGAGGCCTTACACGGCATCTTCTTAAAGCTTATAATTGATCTTTGGCTTGTTCTGAACCTCGCCTGCAAACTGACATGGCTCAATCAACAAGTTAGTAACAGAGTTAGAACAAAAACCTGATAGTTCTGGGATAACCTATAAATCAGAAACTACTATAAACTATTCATGTTAATTGAGCTCTATACCAAAGGAAACAATAGGAGCACCTTCAATCTAGGTTATCTTTGGTATTGGTAAGTGGATATCCCTTTACAAGATTAAAAAAAGGGAAGTGGTCAAGAATTTTAGTGTCGGCCAGGGTATATATTACTAAGTATCACCTCATATGCTATACTTTCCAATGAAATCTACACTTTCTTTAACCTTATATAATTTTAAAAATTCAAGAGGATAAGCAGTTTCTGTAGGAATCTATGTATGTATTTTCTTATTTTTTGTGGGAAAAGATTATTAGCTATGTTTATTTAACTGTATATATACTTAATAGGAGAGCAAAACTGTTACAGATCAGGAGATCAAAGTATGTATAGTGGGAATTAAAAGTGAATGTCACTGATTAGCTGGCAACCTGATAAAAAGAAAACCACAGCAGGCTGCCCTAAAAGCAGGAAGAGAGTTCAGAAAGCAGTTTTCCTGGTTGGGTTTTCCTTGTGCACCTCACCTGCTCTGGAAGTAGTTTGCTAGCTCTGATGCTTCATGGTTCAGACTCCTCAGGTGCACGATTAAATTTCCAGAGTTGGTGAACATGGCGCCACATGTTTTGCACTCGTAAATCCGAGGCTTGCGGATAATGTGCCGGGAAACCCTCATATGGTGTTTATATTCCCCGAAGGAAGTGAAAGTGGCACTACATATCTGGCACCGGAAACAGCGTTTACCTTCATGCTTTAGGCGATGCATCTTTAGCGAGTAAGCCCTGGTGAACTTTTTCCCACAGCGGTCACACTGAAATGGTTTAATTCCTATGAAATAAAGCAAAGCAAAATAACATCTGAAAACAAAATAGACTAAAAGATCGAAACCTTCACAAATTTTCCAAACTACAATTTTACAAATTAAAAACATAAAAACCATCAGCTAATTGTATTCTTAGTATATCAGAAAATATGCAGAACACTTGAAAAGTCACTAGTGCTTAAGACAAAAAAAGGGTAGGATGGGGAAAGGCAAACTAATACATACTAAAGGTGATTTTTGAATGCACTTCCTATTTTGTAGATGTTAGAACTTGTCTTTATTTTACTATAAAACTTTTTTAAGGGAGTATTGGGGTTTGAATTCTGGCTTGTACTAAATAGATGTGTTCTACTACTTGAGGCACTCTACCAGCGCTACTTAATTTTTTGCTGTGTGAAGGATAGAACATATGACTTTCTGCATGCTAGGCAAGCATCTCTATCTGTAAGCCAGATCTCCAGCACTAAAACATTTTAAGAATAGTATTTAGACAGAACCAAAATCCCCATATAACAGCACTTAATTGATTTCATTAGAGAAGTTTATAATTAAAATGTTATCTCGGAAAAAAAATGAGAAGAAAATTCTAAAATCTCTGTATGTAATTATTATAATAGAACCATCATATAGTAAACTAGTTTTTTGGTATTATATTATTGTTAGAAATAAGTTATCAAGTATATAAAAACTAAAAGGTGCTATAAAATATTAACTTGATGTAACAAAATTACAGGGAATTGGTGTTGGGACATTAACTTTAAAACCTGTAAGGAAAAAGGAGATACTAACATAGCTAAAAACCTTTACAAAATTCCTTACCCAACAGAGGTTGGTACTATACTCAAAATAATTCCCTTTTTGCAACCACTGAACCACTGAATATCTATATATTCTTCCAGTCTCATCTGCTTTTCTATGTGTGTTTCTCTAATGGATATACACACGTATCTAGTCTGTCCAGTGTCTACTAACTTTCATATTACACAGTGCATATTGCCTGTGTTAAGTGCATTAAGTAGCTGTCACTGTCTACTTCAGTAACAAAATCTCACTCCCCAAAGTTTTTCTAAATGTTTTCTAAAATGTCTGTTTCTAAAACACTTGCTTTTGTTTTTGAGAAAAGGTCTCACTATGTAGCTCAGGCGGGCTTTGAACCTATCATCTCTACTTCTGGAATGCTGGGATTACAGGTGTGAAATACATGTCCTAAAGAACCTGTTCTACTAAGGCCCCCCACTGCGATATGGGATTTGAGCTCATAGTTTCACACTTGTTAAGGCAGGTGTTCTACCACTTGAACAACGCCTCCAGCCCATCTATTTTCTATTTTAATTCCAAAATAAAACGCTTTAGCATGTTCATTTATGTAACAACAGGGAAGATGGCATTACCTGAGTGGATAAGCATGTGCTGTTTTAGGTTCTGAATACGGGTGAATCGTACCCCACAGGTTGGACACTGAAAAGGTCTGTCTGGACCATTTGGACTTGGTCGTTCTGTACTGCTGGTAGAAGGAGCAATGTAGAGTTGGTAGGGATACTGAACATTTTCCAATCTAAAAAATAAACCAAAGACGGCAACCAGGCTCTGATTTTTAAACTGAATATACATTTTTGTAGACCAATTTTAAGTGAATAGAAGGGGGGAGGGGAAGAAACACTTAAGGTAACAAATTTCACTTACCAGAATGTCCAGCATCTTCAAATAAGCCAAGACACACAACCCATTAAGCATTACCACTTTCTTACCCTTAGATTTCTTTCATCTAATCCTTTCCTTCTTGATACTGCTTTAATTTAGGCCTTCAATACAAATTTTAATTGCTCTTTTCAGCTCTAACTTTCTAAAATATCCTTCGTGCTAAGTCACAAGTATTCTTTCCTTATAAAACATCCAATGCTCATTATTTTATAAATCTTGCCGTTAACTGTTGATTTTCCAATCTCATTTCTTATCATATTGCCCAAATATATCCTATACCAATTAATTTCTTCAGTGTGCCATAGTATCTGGGACACATTTAAACTAGCTTACCTTCTCAGTCTAAATAATGCCAACTCAATTTTATAAAATGTAGCTGAATTGCCATTTCAACTTCTCGGAAGCCTTCTTTGTGAGCAGCTCCACACATGGCAACTACATTCTCTGTATGACTTATGATGTGCTTATCTTTTATCTTTAAGCAATCCCCCTCCCTGAGAATAGATCGAGTTTCTTGAAGGAAAAGGTTATACATTTCACCCCGACATCCCTACCATTTAGCACGACTTTTACCTGATTAGTATTTGCAATTAAGGAATCCAAGTACACTTCTGCTTCTCTTACATTTTTTTCCATTTATATATATTTTTTATTGTAAAAATACTGTACAGAGGGGTTTTAGTTACATGAGTAAGGTAACGAGTCCATTTCCTATTGAGCACTGTAACCTCCTGTTTTTTCCCTACCATCCCTGCCCTCCCCACCGCCTCGCTCCCATCCCTCCCACCAAATTGTAAAGCACGTTTTCAACATAATGTCTTGTACATCTCATTGTTACAATGGGTCGACCTATATCCTTATTTCAGCATATTATTTCCCTTCCCCTCCCCAAATTAGAAAATCGTATATACAAGATGCAGGGCACCAGAATCAAATACAGTGAAAATAGGGGTTATACCATGGGGGAAAGAAGATATGAAATAAACAAAAAATCACATTGTACATTATAAATACATTAAAAACAATAGCATGAAAGAAAAAAGATATTTGTGTCCCTATCTTGGGGTTTATTTCACTTAACTTCATCTTATTTGGTCATATGTACATAGCTTTTGACCTTTTCTGCTTGTCCTAGACATGTACTAGTTATTGCAAATAAGGGAAACCATGGGACCTATATTTCTTTGGGCCTGGCTTACTTCACTTAATTTTTCCAAGTCTTTCATTTCCAAACAAATGGGGCAATGCCATTCTTTCTGATGGAGGCAAAGAATTCCATTGTGTGTGTGTGTGTGTGTGTGTATGTGTGTATATATATATGTATATGTGTATATATATATACACCACTTCTCTATTTTTATTAACTCATTCATACAATTAACATCCATAATTCCCACATCAGATTTAGCTATTCAGTGATAAACTTTGCTGATTCCTTTGAAACCTTCATGTTGTCATAAAAAATGTTTTTAAGGTTACTCAGGAGGAGGAACTGAGTTCATAGTCTATATTCAATTATAAAGAGAAAACAATATGACAGTGACTGGATGCTGGCTGAGACTGGTGGTGAGCAGGAGCCTCCTTGAGAACTGACACAGAGACAATGATCTGAAGTTATAGTTAAGTGAGTGAAAATCGGGGTAGTAAGCATTTCAGATGAATGTCATAAAGGGTTAAAAAAAAGTCCAAAGGCAAGAACAAACATGTAGGATTTCAGGAACCGAAAGGCCTATTTGCTAGAATTTAGTGCGCAACAGAAAGAGTCGTCTGATGGGAATTATGTGAAAGTCCTATCATATAAGGCTTTAAAAGCCAGAGCAGAAGTGGTGCTGTAGCTCAAGTGGTAGTGCGCTTGCCTTGAGCTGAAGAGCCGAGGGACAGCGCCCAAGCCCAGAGTTCAAGCCCCACTACTGACAAAAATAAAAAAAAAAAAGCCAGAGCAGATTCAGATTTTTGTATGAAAAAAACCTCAGAATATAAAATTCTATAGCTGAAAACCAGGATATAATCTCAATTAAAAAAAAAAGATGATTGGGGCTACTACATGGAGAATGGACTTGAATGGTGGAAGAATGTGGTCAGGAACCAGTTTAAAGGCTGCTGCAGTTGTCAAAAGGCCAAAGATGATGATGACTTAAACCAGGGTGACTACAGTACACATAGAGGAAAGCAGACACAGGAGTTGGGGATATACTCTGCAGGCACAGTTGAAAAGACTTTGACTTTTTAATCCAGAAAGTAATGAGTGGGGAGGGTAAAAAGATCTTAAGTAATTCTCAGAGACTATGTTTGAGAAGGTGGGGGATGAAATGGGATAAAACTGGGGAAAAGGATTTAGTTAAAAATAAGAGTTCTCTTTTGGACCTGTAACTCTAAAAGTCTCCTTATACATCTACGTGGAAATTCCAAGCAGGAAGGGTTGAGTGAAGATAAAAGACTTGGGAATCATGAGCATACACATTACGACTTGACAAAACATCTTCTGTGGCAGGCACAATAGTATCTATTTTGGCTTTGTCACTCAAACAATATGTACATAAATAAGCATGGTTGTGTTCCAATAATTTACTTAAAAAGGTAGTAGGTTTGGTCCATAGTTTTCCAACATCTAATATAGATAGTATTTTTAGAGAAATAGGACTATGTAGTTTTGGAATTCAAGAAAAAAAAATTGGTCAAATGTGATAATGCTAGCTCATTACTCTCAACAACTTTTTATATAGCTCTGAGACAAAGTGCTAGAATTTAGTTATAAACAACAACCCTTACAATAAAATTATACACTATGTTAATACTAACCGGTCATCATCGTCTGCATGAGTATTAGTGCTAGAAGTGCTTTGAAGTGTAGGTAGCCCTTCAGTAACGCCTTCATCTACAGAGCCTGTGAAGAAAATAAGATAGCTGTGGTGTCATTAAGCCAAGATATCCAATTAAGATAGCCAAGAAGTCAATGTCCCTAATCTAATAGCTAGTGTTCTATATTTTACTATTATTTAAGTTAAATATCTATGCAATTTAAAATCATAAGTAATGCGTTTTTATTATTAAATTCTTTTGGTAATATGTGATATATGATTCAGAAAACATGCAGAACAATTTAAGTGCAAACCAAAACTTTGAGTTAAATGTCATTTAAAGAAGCATTGGCAATTTTACTTTTAAAACTTACTTAAATATGACATGTCACTTATACAACTTTTGTATACTATTTACAAGTAATTGGGCAACCTCCACACAAGCTACAACAAACATTGTCCTCATTCTAGTGGGAGTCTCTTTCATTCTTCCCTGACCATAAATCCTCTTTCCTATAACAGCTTGAGTGTTTTTTTTTTGTTGGTTGTGGGGCTTGAACTCTGGGCCTGGGCACTGTCCCTCAGCTCTTCAGCTAAAGGCTAGCACTCTACCACTTGAGCCACAGAGCCACTTCTGGTTTTTCTAATGGTTTATTCAAGAGTTTCATGGACTTTCCTGCCCAGGCTGGCTTTGAATCATGTTCCTCAGATCTCAGCCTCCTGAGTAGCAAGGATTACAAGCGTGAGCCCCCGATTCCACCTTCCTTTTGGTAAGACACTTTTAGGCTATCATCAAGTGATGATGTGAATATTCCTTAGCTATAGCTATAACTTAATACATATATGCATATATATATAGCTAGGGTACTTAGTATTTATTAGAAAATGTTCCAGCAGTAATGGCACTAAGTTTTGCATCAGGACCAGCAGTGGGCAAGACCTAGTTATTGATGGATTTGTACATTTTTGCCAATTTGAAGGATGTGTACCAATATTTCAGTTTGAGATTTTTTTAGCATTAAGAACTGTTTAATGTATTTATTAAACCTCTTACTCTTGCTCAAATCTTACTATTGAGCTGCCTTTTCATTGTAAGGTTCTTTCCAAATTTCAGGCACAAGTCAGTGATTTTTATAAATTTTCACCTTGTTTATGGCTTGATGTCCAAACATCTTAATCTTTTAATTACTCTTTTCAATATATCCTTTTGTCTTCTTTTAAATATCTTTCACATTCGAATTCTTATGTTTTGCCTTTTACAATTAACGTATTTTCTTTAGTTTATCTAGAGTTGATTTTGTGATCAAACACATTTATTAAAGTCTCATTTCTTTGTTATACATAAAGTATACAACAAAAGTGCCTGGGTCTGATTTCAGATTTGCTTCTAGTTCTGTGATTGTCCTTGCATTAATGACAATCATTGTAGTAGCTATATATTAAACTGTGATCTCAAGAACAGCAACTCTTCTTACCTTGTCCACTTCTTCCTGTCCACTTGCTTCTGGCTGTTCTTGGCACTTTCCATTCCTTATCTATTTTAGAATTGGTTTGTTGGATAATCATGTTTAAAATCATTCCACTGTTTGGAAGTTACACAATATTTTCCTATTTTTTTTTCAGTAACTGTCTTAGAATGTAGTCATGTACTAGGCAGGGAATATAGCTCAGTATAGTGACTGTCTAGAATATACAAGGGTTTTACAACTAGTATTGGGGTATGGGAAGATCTAATAGTGTTTTAAGTCAATCAAAACCTTTGGTTTTCCTAACACATGGGCCTTGGCAACTTTAAACTTCACATTCCTTTTGCTTTTATTTTGCAAGTTATTTACTTTTTTGTGGGGGGGAAGGGGTCAGTCGTGGGGCTTGAACTCTGAGCTTGGGCACCATCCCTGTGCTCTTCAGCTCAAGGCGAGCGCTCTAATGCTTGAGCCACAGCACCACTTCCTTCTTTTTGTTTTCCACTGTGTTTAGATCCATGCTCACATTTACTTCTGCCTTTTTAAGTCAATACAGTTAAGAATTTTAGTGATTTGTAGACAAATTTAGTGCCTGAAAATATATTTTTTACTTCCATTCTTCCGAGTTATTCTGTTTGTAGAAATCTAGACTGGTATTTTCTTTTGGGATGCTTAGATAATCCCAATAATGCCTAAAGTTGAAGTTGGATTTTTTTTTTTTTGTTGGTGTGGGGCTGGAACTCATGGCATGGATGCTATTCCTGAGCTCTTTCAAGGCTAGCACTCTACCACTTGAAGTCACAGTTCCACTTCTGGTTTTTGAGTATTAATTGGAGTTAAGAGTCTCCAAGGGACTTCTCTGCCTGTGCTAGCTTCAAACAGCAATCCTCAGATCTAAATCTCCTAAGTAGCCTGAGCCACAGGTAGCTGGGTGAAGTTGGATCTTTTGAAGGTATTCTGTCATTAACAAAATTTAGCTGGGCGCTGGTGGCTCACGCCTGTAATCCTAGCTACTCAGGAGGCTGAGATCTGAGGATCGTGGTTCAAAGCCAGCCAGGGCAGGAAAGACCGTGAGACTCCTATCTCCAACAAACTACCAGAAAACTGGAAGTGGTGCTGTAGCTCAAGTGGAAAACCCTCGCCTTGAGCTGAAGAGCTGAGGGACAGTGCCCAGGCCCAGAGTTCAAGCCCCATGACCGACAAAAAAAAAAAAAAATTGGACTCATGTCTTTCATTTGTGAAATTTCTTAGCCATTCTCTTATCTCTCATCAGGACTTCCATCAAACCTATATTTACATCTTCTATGTCCTTCTCTTCTCCACGGCAGTTTCTCTACTTCATTTGCCTCTGGGTAACATTAAAAAGTTTCTTTTCATTTATCTTCTGATCCTCAATTCCTTTTTCTGCTAAATTCAATCTTTTGCCAAAATGTTCACCAAGATTTTTCATCTTGGTATTTTCTTTCCCAGAAGTCCTAATTAGTCTCTCCTACCAATCTGTTGTTACTTTCTACACAGTTTACTGGTTTTTTTTTTACAACTATTCAAATTTGTTCAATTTGCTAAATAGAATAAGCATGTTTTATCTTTGTCTCAAAATTATGCCAATTGGCTTTGCCAATCATTTGTTGCCTACGTTCCTTACTTGGAGTTACCTTGTTTCCTTGCCCTGGTTATTTCTGACTGTGGTTTTCTGCCTTTTAAAATAAAATCATTTGTAGGGGATTGATTTGCTAAAGTTGATGATATGTCCTTTCCCATGGAAGGTTTAAATGTTTGCTTCTGCTTGACTTAAGCCACACTGACATTTTGTGGCCAAATCACAGTAAGTATATATAACAAGGATGCATATGTGCAAGTGGGCTAGTCAATGTTCACACCTTAGGCATAAGACTTCTTTCCTTCTTCCTGATTTATCCTGCCAACTGCCAAGGTAGCTTTTTTTTTTTCAGGGGGAGGGGGTCCAGTCGGGGGGCCTGAACTCTGGGCCTGGGCGCTGTCCCTCAGCTCTTCAGCTCAAAGCTAGCGCTCTACCACTTGAGCCACAGCGCCACTTCCGGCTTTTTTCTTATTGCTTAGGTGGTGCTGAGGAATTGAAACCAGGGCCTCATGCATGCAAGGCAAGCGCTCTACCACTGAGCCACCTTTCCAGTCCTTCAAGGTATCCATTTATTTTCGGAACAACTCCTTTACGACTTCATGGGTTCTGTCTGGCCCTTGGGTTCCATTCCCTTTGTTCTTTGTTTTGATGAAGCCGAGCCCATTTGTGTTTAGCAAATGTCTAAAAAATAAAACTGGTTTCAGTGCTCTGATGCTCTGTTTACTTCTCTGGACCAGTCTTTCAACTCAACCTGGCAGTTCTTTGTCCATTTTTTTAGGTTTTTAAATATTTTGTGATGACTTTTTCAGAATCTAGAATCTGTACTTTTTTATGTTCAATCTGTTCCTTTCTTCACTATCTGCAAATAAGCTGGGCTGCACCAAATGAACAAATCTAAGCCTTTGAAATGGTCTCTGCTCTTAATAGTAAACAAGTGTTTGCTTAGATGATTCTAGTGAAAGCTTAAATATATTAACTGCAACAATCTGCATAAAAGTATAAACATGTGAACATTTAATGAATATCATCTGTTAACATACATAGGATGAAATTTCCTCCCTAGGAAAATTTAGAATCTAATATTTCCCCCTTGGAACATTTGGATTAGCTGACATTAGTAAAGTAGTATTATTTTCTACTTAGGTAAAAGATTCTTTCTTAATCTTTTGCTCAAGGCTAGCACTCTACCACTTTGAGCCACAGCTCCATTTCTGGTTTACTGGCAGTAAACTGAAGGTAAGAGTCTTACAGAATTTCCTGCCCAGGCTGGCTTTGAACCACAATCCTCAGATCTCAGTCTCCTGAGTAGCTAGGATTACAGGTGTGAGCCATCAGTGCCTGGCTATAGTTGTCATTATCTTACCATCAGGTAGGCTATATTATATCCATGAAGAGGTAATATCTTGGTGAAGTGGAAATAAAAACCACTCTACTTTAGAAAATTCTGAGTATGAAGTCCTAAAAACCTCATGGAATGTGAATGTAATCTATAATATTTCAGGCAAAGGAGTAATAAACTCAACTTGCTAAAATATTGGTGATAGGGCACTTGACAGAAATTACCATTTAGAATTTAGCTAAAGTCCTTGTTCCCTTGCATTAGGACCCTTGTAACAGAATGCAGACCTTTTGAAGTGCAACTTGCCTTTGGCTGAGGCTAAATTCTTGCTGAACTGAGCTCAAATATTTCAATGAAATTCTTCTTTATTATATTTCATTTCCCTAGAAATAAGGTTTGGGTTTTTTTTTGGGAAGTATTCTAATTATTCAGGTTTGTGTTGTACCTTAGTGAAACTTCTCTAGCCTTATCTATTCCTATGGTCCATTTACTAAGTATGTCTAATCTATAAGACTAATAATAAACTATATATAATGTTTTCATTATATAATAGTTCATTTGAACTAGCTCTAGAGGCTGACAGAACTATATAGAGTTTTTAGAGCATTCCATGGATAAACTGAGAAAAGCCATATGGTTAAGGACTGAATCTGGTCAGAAAGACTGCCATCCATAATCATATCT